ACATCAATCGCCTGATGATCGTACGCTGTACGTGAAACACTGTGTAGCGATGAAATAAAATTTTAAGATTGAAATTTGTTGTTTATGTCTTTTTATTTGCTCTACTGATTTATTGGTGTTGAGCACTCTAGTCCACTACGCACAAATTCAATATTGAATATTATATATATATATATATATATATACATATATATATATACATATATACATATATACATACATATATATATATATATATATATATATATATATATATATATATATATATATATATATATATATATATATACAATATATATATATATATATATATATATATATATATATATATATATATATATATATATATATATATATATATATATATATATACATATACATATATATATATATATATATATATATACATATATATACATATATATACATATATATACACATATATATACATATATATACATCGAGGGGGATATTTGCCATGTTTCTAAGAAATGGGCTTCATAGATGATTTCTAAACTGTTTACATCGTACTCCCATTATGCTTTGCGTGCTTAGAGTTTAAGGTTTAAGGTTTTAGAGTCGCTCTCCACTGTACAGTTAAAATGATTAACTATATACGGAACCACATCGAGGCTCTTATACGTTACACTTCATAAAGGAGTGCAAAAGAAAAGCCTCTCGGCTCTTGTTTTCAATACCATCTTCCAGAAAAATCCAGAAAAAAGTTTCTGACTGCCTCATGCACCATAAGGAGAGATTCAGCTTTTAAAATGCTTGCGATTTACCGTTATTTTGAGTAGAACATTTACTTTCGAACATTTAAAGATTTTCTTAAAAAAAAAATTTAAAAGGATCTTGAAGAGATTGACATCACTAGTATTTTACCTGTTTCGTGGCACTTGTAGCACTTTACTGCCTGCCCATAACCTTCATTACCAAGGGCAACACCACAAATGACATGCACAGAACGACGACAAGTTATACATTTATGTGCTCCGGAAACTTCATCAAAACAAACATGGCAGTGATAATCTGTCACATCTAAAAAAATAAGAAAGTCATTTGTCATATTGCTATATGTAATAATTGCGGCAAAATTTTAGAAACTCTATATGTTCGTTTCCACATTTCAGCTTCGACCATTCTGCCTTCTGGTGTGTTTGTTAGCTATGATTTCTTTTCTTTCAATTAACCTTGTCATACTTCAAATACGTCATACTTCAGTTGTCTAAATGACTTTTTATTATACATGTCAACAAACAACAAACTATTGGTTGGTGTACATATTTATCCAACTATACTTAGAAAGACAAAGAAAATACTTCCTTCGATATTTTGAGCGAAGTCCTTTCAAAGTCCTACTTTCTCCCAACTTATTTTTTATATCGCTACTGACACTGGTACCCACTGCAAGCGATCAAAACCGTATCCGTATAGATGGCCTTGTCAAATGCTAAAACTTGTTTCTCCTAAATTGTGGTACATTAAATACTTTTTAGTATTTTTTGATGCATCTGCATTTGCACAAGAATGCAATCCAAAAGCCGCTATCACACTCTTAAAAATAGGTGTGCTAAACAACACACATTGGTGTGTTATAGCACACAAGGTCTGTTTTCTTGTCACTGAGCACACAAAGGTGTGCTGAGCAGAACACAGTGTATGCAAAAGGTTAGCCTGATAACAGACCTACGTTTCGCCTGCCCTAAAATTCACGGGTCGAGGGAATGAGCGAAACGTAGGTCTGATGAAAATGTTGTCAAAAGTGCATATAAGCTGATTGGCTAATTCACAGTGAAATTGGTTGTGATTGGTTGGTCGCTAACATGAAAAGATTTGAAAAGACTGAGAAATCAGAATATATTTCAACGGTAAATCAACCCATATAAATATACAATATTCAAATAGAGCAATATTCTAAGTATTTTGTGAGGTCGAGCGACAACTAGTTTATCAGTGAGTATCTACCATCTAAAAACCAAAACTAGAGGGGGAGTAGAGTGTAGTCTGCGAACTCAGACGTAATTTCCTCATTTCTCGCTCGGAAAATAACCGAGCAAGAAATGTCGGAAAAGAACTGAGCGATAAACGAGGAAATTACGTCTGGGTTCGCATGTAGTATACAGTATGCGTCAAATACTTCAGCGTTGTGTCTTTCCGTTGTAATATACAATACAATAATTCTATTAAAATGACCTAATTTTTGTGAATAATCATAATAAAACTGATACAAGTCATACAATGATACAAATATATCAATATGTGTGTCAGCACAATACAATTTAGTTGAGTATATAAAAGCAACAGAGTGCATGGGGTTACCAATATTTTAAAGATTCAAACATCTATACTTATCGACTTTGTTTACACATTTTCGATAAAATCGACAACTTTCATTGTATTTTTAGGTGTTACAATAAATGTGTCAATCATTATCGTTAGTTATTACAAAATGCAAAGTGGGTGGCATGCACTTTTGACAACATTTTCATCAGACCTACGTTTCGCCCTTTCCCTCGACCCGCGAATTTTAGGGCGGGCGAAAAGTAGGTCTGTTATCAGGCTAGCAAAAGGTGTGTTCTGTAACACACCTTTAGCTAACACACCTTTCGAGTAAGGGTAAGGTGTGCTCAATTAACACACCTTTGAAAGATAATACACCTTTGGAAGATAACACACCTTTTAAAATAGCACACCTTTCTCCAATAACACACCTTTTTCTACCAACACATCTTTTTTTGTGCCCCAAAATAGCACACCTTTTTTCAATAACATACCTTAAAATATCACACCTTTGATGTTGTTAAGCATGCCTTTTCAACTTACACATTTTTCATAAAGGCACAGAAATATCCCATGCAAGGATCTCTAACCTATATTCCAATCTACAGGATTTATTCTTTCAAATACTGTAGAATTAGGGCGGTATTTGCTATGCAAATTTGTATAGTGAAAGAGTTGCAATTTCGTGTAAAATCATCACAAGGTTTAGGGTAGTTCCTCGGGTAGAGGAGAAGTGATCACGTGATCGGCTAGTTGTGTTGTTTGTGGCGTCAGATATAACCAAATCCCTATCTCTAAGCCTAATCCTTACCCTCACCCTAACCCTAACCCTAACCCTAACCCTAACCTCAAAACTAATCGCTATAACTAACTGATGACGTAGTCTGTGATGCAAATTCTTCTACCCGAGGATGTACCCAAGGTTTAGCTGCTTGATACGCTTTTTATTTGTATGTTGCCAAGTCAGGTTGCTGTATATTACCAGTATATCAGGTTGAATCGCAAACGCGGCTATCGAATGTAGCCAGAAATTGTCAGCGAGTTTTTCTCGTCAAATTAATCTATATCCTTTATTTGTAGTGTATTTAATCTGCAATTTGAACTTGTGGAATGTTCTGTTGCGGAATATAATTTACGACAAGTGGAAGTTCCAGAATTTCAACTATTTTTCAACCAATTAACATGCTTAGAATATATCACGTGTTGTAGTAATTCGATCTGTTGATAACAAGCGCTAAGTTCGATCTTTTGAGAGCAAATATTCAAAGAGGAAAGGATTTTTATTCAAGTTTTCTACTTATAAAGTTCCAAAGACCTAAGAACATACATGAAATTTGTTTTCAAAGGTATGTCTATTGTGTATTTACTCATTTGTATGCGGATAGTTACTTGATATACTGTATAGTTATGTTTTTAAATCGAAGGAAACAGACTTCCCAGGTTGGCAAACTTGCACTACTCACTCGCAGCTACACAACAATTTAAAGCTACATCTCGCACTTTAAATTTGCTTTGCTCACACTTATCACCCGATGCGCCTGACGCTCGCGTGCCGGATTGCAGCAGAACTCAGAATCCGACCAGAAAATTTTATTTATATAGTTAGAGAACACAACTTCTTTATTAATTTGAATCTACCATATATACTCTGTCTGTTAGATTATGACAGCAAAACATGCGTATGTAATATAGTATAAATTTAGCGGATACAATAAAAATGATACCTTGTGCATATGGTTAATCGTATATACAAAAGAGCTGAACCTAAAGAAGATAAGGATATTTTGGTTGGCATGTTCTTAATTCTGTGAATAACCTTTGACTGGTTATTTCTTATCAAATAGTTCCTGATTGACCTTGGGTTGCGAAGCATAGGTGAATTGTGGCTTTCCAAATATTTCTGAGCAATACCTTCAACCAGATTGTCTGTATTGTTACCAATATGAGGAAGTAACCAATCTAGTTTTGTTCTTAGCTCCAAAATCTTATTGGACTGATAGCATCGCTGTTGCTGCATATCCATAATAGCATAAAAACTTTCAGCTATTGCTTCACTGCCGCCCGACGCCATTGCGATGTTTAGAGACAACATGAACTCTGGTTTCGGAGTGTAAGTTACTTGCAGCTCACATCTGACTATTGGTTCACTCGCAGCTGATCAATTTTATACTCTTGCAGCTACGCATAGGGAATTTGATACATGTTTTCCAACCTGGCAGACTTCGTTCTTAGTCGTTAAAGTCAAATTAAAACAAAAATAACCCTAACCCCAATCCTTCCCCTAACCCTAACCTCAATCCTAACCCTAACCTCAATCCTAACCCTAACCTCTAACCCCTAAAAAAATTAAAACTAGTCAGAAAAAAAAGTTAAAAATGTTTTGTTAAGGCGAGCAAAAAACCGTCACAACTCTGATTCGAACCCGTGGACTACAACACAGCAGCCATTTGCCTAACCTTCTGAGCTATTTTCAAGCTCGCTGAAATCCTTTGTAAACAATACGCTTTATAGTGCCGGGTCGGTACATAGAGTGCTGTAAATATAGCCTGGCGAAGTCTGTTTACGGACCCGTAGATATAGCCACTTTGTTGTATTAATACTTTTTTACCGAAGGCATCTACACGTTCAGTTGTAAATTTGCGATTAATTTCTATTAGCAGAAGTGTATAAATCTAATCTACACTCTACTTATCTGTGTTTTAAGAAAATCGTATAGCTTATTTGTGTGATATACGTGTATACTATATTTCCTGTGAAATATTTGCCATTTGTAGTTGGCATGCATTGTATACTTACAAATCACATAAATATAATTTGATTTGCTTGAAGTCAAATTAATAGCATATAGATAGCATTGTAATAGCCCATCTCCCAATATTACCCAATGTATGGCATGTGCTTGCTATGGTATTAAACCCTCCTATCGGTCACCCTAAAACATGTGTGAATAGCTGCTTATTTGGTCAAGAAAGCCAGCCCAGGTAGCCCGGCTATAGCTTGCTTTCCCTGGATGAATATCTGTTTACATGAGCCTCTTTAGATGGGCAGGCTCGCCAAATCGAATCAACCAGTCTGAGTTTTATAATAGAAGCACATTTTACGGTAACCAACATCACACTTTTGCAGACAGTTTCGAAATGTAACTGATAAAAACAATTACCGAGATATTTTAACCCTATAAGTGGCAATGCGCCCTACTTTATTATTTTACTTTGTCTAACATCAGACAATTTTACTTGTCAGGAGGAGAATCTGCCCCTCAATTAGCCTGCGTGGCAGGCCCTCAAATTTATGGGGGGCCTGATTTGCAGCGGGCAGGATTTTGGCGGGCTCCGGGGGAGGGGATTAAGGGCCTGCAGGAAAGCCCGCCTTTCATGACTACACGCCGTTCAGATTCTGAACGGTGAATACGATCACCTGATTGGTCAATACCAGATTGCGGCAAAGCAACTTGCCCAATCGAGCAAGCAAGATAAAACGTTTACTTGCCCGTCATGAATTTCACTTGTCTCGGGCAATTAGTTGGCAAGTGTTAAGTTACACCTCTGCTTGCTTTGTACACTAGAAAACAACCAAAAATAGCAAATTCATTGTCACTCAATAATTTGCTTTTCTTATATATCAACCTTATATATTTTTTCTTAATAGTGGTTGTATTTAATATGGATTCATTATATCCTGTGATGCTGAATGAAAAGTTATCAAAGCATCCCAGGAGAAGGCAAGTCATCTAAACAAGTGGCAATATATATAATCATTAATGGCATTCTAAGTACTTCATGGTCTATTTGGAAAATGTTATTCTTTTGCTGGAGAGCATGTTTAGGGATTACCAAACCATGCAAGGAAAGGACTAGGAGTTCTTGGCAAACAGACACTTTAAGTCAGAGGGTAGCAGTAGAATTGCAGGGCTGTAGGTTCAGTTTATGCTGGCAGACTTGCAATTGCTCTCTGAGTTATTTGAAGTGTGTTTGTTCACTACAACCAGGTATATCAATTGTGTTTCGCTTGCTACTCTGGATTAAATAAATAATTACAAAGCCTGGTGGAATTGTAATCAAGACCCAGCGTTTAGACACTCCAGTCTATTGTCTTCTTTAGGGGTGATCTAAAATTGTAATTGTGGCTTCTTAAATACCCAATGGATGACATCGCCTGCCAATGAGATGCATGTATTCCTCTGGCAGGTAGGCACGTACCGTCATCCCTATTCACAGCATAATTACTCATATTTATATGCCATGCTTCTAGGCATAGTCTTTGAACATGATAGTGATTGTTTGTGGTAATTAATTTAAATTTTTCCGACACAATCTCGTGTTTGGTGTCACACACATGTTCTGATAAAGCTGATTTCCCCTTGTTTTAAAGTTGAAACAGCCTTTTGATGTTCTTTTAGCCATGTACCAAACTGATGTTTAGACTGACCCAAATACTCTTTTTCACAGTCACAGCATGGTATAGAATATACAGCATGAGTTTTCTGATTTGTTTTAACAGGATCTTTTGGCTTTGCAAAAATATGGCCTAAAGTCAAATACGGTTTTAAGGCAACCTTAATATTACATGCATCTCATTGGCAGGTGACGTCATCCCTTGGGTATTTAAGAAGCAACAATTGCAACTTTAGATCACCCCTGATGAAGACACTAGACTGGAGTGTCAAAACGTTGGGTCTTGATTACAATTCAACTGGACTTTGTAATAATTTATTTAAACCAGAGTAGCGAGCGAAACATGCTCTCAGTTAGTTCTATGAAACACATGTTAACTGTACAGTTTCCATTTGCAATGTCCATCTACAAAAACCCATGATCAGTCTGCTATTATTTCCTTACTAGAGTAGGCTGTTGATTGTCTCCTATATTTAATATTGGCTATTTGCAACATCCTGCAATTCGTCATATTATACACATGCAGCCATGATATCATCAATCAAACTTTGAACTTAGAACTGCATTCAAAGAATGTTATCGAGCGTAAGAATATATCATTATATGCTAAAGCAAATTGTATTCTTGTTACAATACTGTATACCTTGTATATAGAGGGATAATAAATTATTTTGACATAAAAATATCTTTATTGATTTCTTAGGTTAATCAATCAGGTGTATTACAGCAGCACGCCTTAAGTTGTGTTACAGCAGCACACTTTAAGGTGTGTTACTGTAGCACGCCCCAAGGTGTGTTACTGTAGCACATCTTCAGGCGTGTTACAGCAGCACACCTTAAAGGTGTGTTACAGCAGCACACCTTAAAGGTGTGTTACAGCAGCACACCTTAAAGGTGTGTTAAAGCAACACACCTTAAGGCGTGTTAAAGCAACACACCAAGGTGTGCTAACAAACACACCTTTTCTCAAAACACACCTAAAGGTGTGTTGTTTTCTGGACAAGTGAATAACACACCTAAAGGTGTGCTACTGTAACACACCTTAAGGTGTGTTGTTTTCTGGACATAAAAGGTGTGTTGCTTTAGCACACCTTTTTTTAAGAGTGCATTTAGAAATATGTAAGTGTACACGGAATCGATGACACATTGCGTTCATGCGAAGATAAATGTTGAAGTCTTTGATTGTTTTGACTTGTCAACGTCATTTAACAAGTCATGTTATTATTATTCGTAATTTGTGTTTTAATATACTTTTTATTTCTACCTTCTCAATCTTTTGCAGATTGATCACCTACAAACAAGAAGAAAAAGATATCAAAATTTACACCACATAAAAAGACGCGAATCGTCGTTGTCAAGGTACATAATGTTATCTTTTTCCCAGACAACAATTATGTAGAGCAGAAAACATTTTAAACTTCTATCCATTTTGTTATGATGATACTCAAAGTGTAATAGAGAAAATTTAGTTCCCGGGTATCTGACTTTTGACTAGTTTTACTGAAACAGAAAATGATTACACATATTTATCAGGTGTCCTGTAAGCATCGCGTATCGTAATTTATTATACACTTGCTGTATATACATGGATGAAATAAAAAATGTATTTAAAGAAGGACGAAGTGAGTAAGGGAGTTGATTGACCGTTACTGTTTTCCTCAGTAGGGAGAATTATAGTATCGTTTGTAAACTTAGCGCTCGCTTTTTGTGAAGGCGCGAACGATGACATTTTTGTTTGGTCTGTATAAGCCAAATAATGAAGCAATAAACAGTAACCAATTTGTTTTGAGACTTGCATATTTCCCTTTCCTGTGCATAGTTTGCTGTGGAACTTTCGTGCGTTTCAAATATTTATATCTACATGTATATAACAAAATATTTACCATCCTGCAGCGAGACTGGTTCGTCACCATTGTCGTTTGGAGCTTGCTGCAATATCGGTTCATCACCATGGAATGTTGAACCTGCAGTTTGTGAAAAAAAAATATTGTAAAGAATAAATCTATGATAAATGGATGATGGTATACATGTGGTGTTTTATTGCTGACTTAATCAAAATGATTTTGTTCTGTTATGCCACTGGTATCTAGGAAAACTGGAAAAATAATGTTCAAATGTTTGTCGTTTTAAAGCTTCCTTGGTTTTAGACACAAACTGAAATCTCTTTGAAGCCAAAGTAAAGATTCCAGAACTTTTTTTTCAAATGTAGCTAAAATGTTTAAAGGTACTGTGTCATAAACGTTTTTATATTTGTATTTCTAGTTTAAACAGGGATTGCTCATTCTTTTAATAGTTTGAATTTGACAAACAAAATTTTAAAATGTTCAAATGCCCATAAGTCTGCCTGCCCTCCAGGGGGTGGTGGAAACAAATGATAGGTGCATATTATGCACCAATCAGTGGTTTCCCCCAGGGGGGTATCGAGCATACCCACAGGATTTGACAAATACTTGTTCTCTGGGTCAGGAATTTGACAATTATATGTGGCCCCGGGGTCGGGATGATTGATCTTCACTTATACAGGGGTCTGCAGTATTTTTTCCCCGTGATTTTTGTGTTTTTCATGTGTTTTTGTGTGATGAGACTTTGGAGTTTCCACTTTCATGAAATGGAATTTTCAGAATTTTTACTAAATTTATAAATTTATAACACTTATAACTTAAATTTTCTTAAATTT